GTACCTACTTCAATTCCATGATCAAAAAGTTATTGTTTCATCCATAAAACTTGTGCACAACAACTACCAGCTGAAATGTATTCGGCTTCAGTGGTAGATAATGCAACACAATTTTGTTTCTTTGAAAACCAAGAAATCAGCATATTTCCAAGGAATTGGCAAGTAACAGAGGTGCTTTTCCTATCTAATTTGCATCATCCATAATCCATATCAGAAAAGGCATGCAAGCTATAGCTAGAGTCTCTAGGATACCAAAGTCCTAAACTAGGAGTGTCCTTAAGGTATCTAAAGATTCTCTTAGTAGCTAGTAAATGTGATTCCTTAGGGCATGATTGAAATCTAGCACATAAGCAACCACTAAACATAATGTCCGGTCTACTTGCAGTTAGATAAAGTAGAGATCTAATCATTGACCTATATAATTTAACATCTACACATTTACCTCCTTCATCCAAGTCAAGCTTTGTACAAGAGCTCATTGGAGTGTCATGAGGTTTCCCATTTTCCAGTCCAAACTTCTTGAGCATATCTTTGACGTACTTAGCTTGATTGATGAAGATGCCATCTTTTCTTTGCTTGATTTGGAGTCCCAAGAAAAATGAGAGCTCCCCCATCATGCTCATTTCGAATTCGCTTTGCATTAGCTTAGAAAATTCTTGGCAAAGAACATCATTAGTAGAACCAAGTATTATATCATCAACATAAATTTGAACTACTAATAAATCTTTACCTTTATGCTTTAAAAACAATGTAGTGTCAACCTTCCCTTTTGAAAAACCTTTTTCAATTAAAAAATTTGACAATCTTTCATACCAAGCTCTAGGAGCTTGTTTTAAACCATAAAGTGCTTTTTTTAATTTAAGAACATGATCCAGAAATTTTGAATCTTCAAAACCTGGAGGTTGTTCCACATACACTTCTTCTTTTATAAAACCATTTAAAAATGCACTTTTAACATCCATTTGATATAATTTAAATTCATGAAACACATGCAAATGCTAATAACATTCTAATTGCTTCCATCCTAGCTACGGGAGCGTATGTTTCATCATAGTCTATGTCCTCTTCTTGAGTATACCCTTGAGCAACAAGTCTAGCCTTGTTTCTCACTATATTACCACTCTCATCAAGCTTATTCCTAAATACCCATCTAGTACCTACAGTAGATTTATTACTAGGCCTTTCAACTAATGTCCATACTTTACTTCTCTCAAATTGATTTAATTCTTCTTGCATAGCCATAATCCAATGTTCATCATTTAATGCTTCTTTAATATTCTTAGGCTCTATGCATGAAATAAATGTAACATAATTACAAATATTTCTAAGAGAAGATCGAGTTGTTACCCCTTTGGATGGATCACCTATAATCTCACCATCTTTGACATAGTTGTACTCTCTTGGATAAAATACTTCCCTTTCTTCAATGGTTGGATTTTCAAGAAGATCATGAGTTTCCTCATCTTTCGTTTCTTCCTTTGATGATGATTCTCCAACGTCATATCTAACGTCATTTGTATTAATAATACCTACATCATCATTCAAACAAGAATCCTTCCTCGGAAGGAGATTATCATTGAAAAAACATGTATAGATTCTTCTACAACCAAAGTTCTTTTATTAAATACTCGATAAGCTTTTGAATTTAAGGAATAACCCAAAAAAATTCCTTCATCACTTTTAGCATCAAATTTGCCAAGGTTTTCTTTACCGTTGTTTAAAACAAAACATTTTCATCCAAAAGGATGAAAATAGCTAATGTTAGGCTTTTTATTTTTGAAAGTTTCATATGGAGTTTTCTTTAAAATTGGCCTAATCATTACTCGATTTACAACATAACAAGCAGTATTTGTGGCTTCGGCCCAAAAATATTTTGGCAAATTATTTTCACAAAGCATGGTTCTAGCCATTTCTTCTAAAGTTTGATTTTTCCTCTCAATAACTCCATTTTGTTGAGGGGTTCTAGGTGATGAAAATTTTTGGCTAATACCATTAGAATTACAAAACTCATTAAATCCAATATTTTCAAATTCAGTGCCATGATCACTTCTAACACTAGTGATAAAGTAACCTTTTTTGTTTTGGATTACTTTTGAAAATGTGATGAAATTTTCTAATGCCTCATCTTTAGTACTTAAGAATAGAACCCAAGTATATCTTGAATAGTCATATACCAAGACAAATGCATATTGTTTTCCACCCAAGCTAGTAGTCCTAGTTGGCCCAAAAAGATCTATATGGATCAATTGTAATACTCTACAAGTTGACACATCATTAATGGATTTAAAAGAAACTCGCTTTTGTTTTCCTTTAGCACAAGCATCACAGATTTTATCATTATGAAATTTTAGTTTAGGCAGCCCTCGAACCAATTCTCCTTGAACTAATCATTGCAAAACACTCATGCTAGCATGTCCTAGTCTCCTATGCCATAACCAACTATCATGCTCATCCTTTGCAACTAGGCATAAATTAGTCATTTCTATAGAGTCTAAATGCACCATGTATATGTTTCCTATTCTATGACCAACAAGCATAATCCTATTAGATGCAATGTCAATGACTTTACAACCATTAGTTTCAAATATGATATTGAATCCCTTATCACATAATTGACTAATACTCAAGAGATTATGCTTTAATCCATTCACATATAACACATTTTTAATTTGTATGGAAGAGGTATTACCTATTGTACCTATACCTTTAATGTGACCTTTTGAATCATCACCAAAAGTCACTTCTCCTCCATTTTTGGCGTTAAGCTTTATGAACCAGTTTTTGTCCCCGGTCATATGTCTCGAGCATCCACTATCAAGGTACCATGAATTTAGATTTGTTTCCCATGCCTTGTAGCAATGTTCCTTTTCCTACAAACATAGATTAATTTTTTATTTTTGGTACCCAAATTCTTTTGGGTCCATATTCATTAGTTTCCAAAATCCTAGTCCCCTTAGGTATCCATTTGTGTAGGATATCCTTATCTTTAGTAGTAATGAGCTCTTTAGGAACCCATATACTTCTAACGATTTTTCCATTAGAGGTTCTTTGGGGACCTCTATGATTGTAGTTTTTAAAACTTTTTCTAACAAAGTTGGATTTTGAATTTTCTCCATTTTCAAAACGTTTTGTTCCAACTTTATCAAAAGAAGCTTTAAGATCATCAATTTTCTTTTGATGATCATCATTGACCTTTGAAAGTAAATTTTGCAAATCCAAAATTTTCTTTTCAAACTCTTCTAGTTTGATTTGCAAATCTTTAATTTTACTTTCAAGATCGTTGTTGGTTTTGGATATGAGTTTATTTTCATTTTTCAATTTTGAAATATCATTTTTATATTTTAAAAACAATTTCTCATAATCTGAAGCCAACCCATTATATTCCTGTAATAACTCATCATAGGATAAATCATCAAAATCAGATGAGTTAGAGGTTACCTTAGAATCTTCCCCGAATGCCATCAAGCACAAGTTTGCTACTTCTTGTTCCTCTTCATCAGAACCTTCTTCATCACTCCATGTAGCCACATGAGCCTTGTGCTTATTCTTTGATTGACCCTTTCTCTTCAATTATGGGCAATCATATTTGATATGCCCCGGCTTTTTGCATTCATAGCAAATGATTGGGTCCTTCTGTTTTGGTTCATTTTTGAGGCCTTCATTTCGTTTGAATTTTCTTCCTCGGTAAGGTCTCATCATTTTTCTGAACCGTTTGGCAAACAATGTCATTTCCTCGTCATCGTCATCTTCATCCGAATCACTCTCATCTTTTGTGGATTTGAGAGCAACTCTAATGTTTTTCTTCTTCTCCTTCTCCTTTGGTGTCTCTTCAATCTTATCGAGGTCTACCTCATCTTCAAGCATCATTTCATGAGTGAGGAGTGAACTGATTAGCTCTTCAAGAGTTAAGGACGTTAAGTCATTACACTCGATGATTGCAGTCTTCTTTGATTGCCATGATTTTGGAAGGGAGTAAACTAACTTCCTCACAAGCTTTTCATTTGAAATGATCTCTCCATATGATTTGAGACCATTGATAATCATTGAGAATCTATCCGTCATAGCTTTGATATCTTCATTTGGTTTCATCCTAAAATTTTCATAGCTATGCGTTAGAATACTAATTTTAGATTTCTTTACCTCATCAGTACCTTCATGAGTGACTTGAAGTTTGTCCCATATTTCTTTGGCAATTGTACAAGATGAAACTCTTCTGTATTCATCTGGTCCAAGAGAACAAAATATGATATGGATGGCTTTCGAGTTGAGCTGGAACATTTTTCTCTCTCATTCACTCCACAATCTTGGATGAGTGAGAGGCTTGATGTATCCTTCTTCTATGACATTCCATGCTCCCATGTCACTTGCTTGAATGAAGTACATCATCCTATTTTTCCAATAGGCATAGTTAGCCCTACTGAAGAAAAGAGGCTTGTTCACGGGCATCGAATCGAGACCTGAGTTGAATTTTGAAGTAGAGGCCATTGATGACTTTGATTATCGATGTAAGTCTTCCCGAATCGACTCAAGAGGCGATTAAACCTTCAAATGAGTTAGGCTCTAATACCAATTGTTAAGTTAATCGATTGACGAAATCCGCCAAGAGGGGGGTGAATTGGCAATTAAAATTTTGTGGAAGCTTTTGCATAAAATTGAAAGTAATTGCACAGCGATTTAGAGTGGTTCGACTTTATCAACCAAAGTCTACGTCCACTACCTTAGTTATCCACACTAAGGATTTTCCAACAAATTCACTAATTTGTTCTTTCTTTTAAGGCAAAAGAGATAACCTTACAACTCCCTCAAGAATATACCCCAATTCTTGAGAACACTCTTTTCTCAAAGAGAAGATTACAAATTTGCAAACTCACAAGAAAAATCTCACAAGGCATATATGTTTGCACAATTCTAGAATAAAGAAAGAACACTCAAGAATAAATACAATTGAGCACAATAAGTGTTCTTGAAAGCAAAATGAATATTGAATGAAAAATAGGCTTGAAATGCTCAAACTTGAGGATTGATGCTTTTCTTTGATTCTCTCTTGATTCTAGTTGCTTGATGTTTCTTGTTGTTGATCAATGGCTTCTAAGCTTTCTTAAATACACCTTGAATCACTTCTGAATGCTGGGGATCATTAATGAAGTTATTGTAGCCGTTTAAGTGTGAAAACAATAAATATTTCTGCTTGGAGCGTGGGGGAATCAGTACCCTTGATGGGGAATCGGTTCCCTAAGTGTAAAATTCAAATATTTTGACCGTTGAACAGTGGGGGGAATCAGTACCCCCTGGGGAGAATCAATTCTCTCCAAGCATACTGGAATTCTCGGAGCCAAACCATTCAGGGGTGAATCAGTTCCCTCTGAGCAATCTGGAATTTTTGGCTTTGAAATGGTTCGAAATATTTTGTAAAATTGTTTTGAAATTATTTTAAGATTAAAACTTAATTTTACACTTGAGTAAGGATTTAACATGAACTTTGAAATACTTTGATTAATATTTTGATATTCGATTTAATATATCGAATATGCTTTAGAGAAATCATTTTCAAAAATAAAATTCTTTTAATTTAATTTATTATATCGAAACATCAAAATGTTTTCAACACTTTCGATTCGAACAGTTCGTGATCACTACTTCTCTTACAGTCCTTGCTTTTTTTTTTCAAGGAACCCGCTGTAAGTATTCGCATCTCTTCCTCTTAATTTCGTTTTTACATACTTGAATCGCTGGTGAGACCGTCGAGTTTTGTTTCCGCTGTGTCGTGGGTGCATTGATGGTCCCAACAGTTCTAGAGGGATCAACCAAGTCCATCCCAACTTGGACTCCGACATTATCTGCCAAGCCATCATGCCCATGGTCAAAGCAAGCTTCCATATAGCTATTGTGATGTAGATTTCAGCTATACAGTCTCAATATGGGTACACCATCTCCTACAAGAAAACATGGAAGCCAAAGTAGAATTCCATTAAAAAACTTTACTGCAAGTGGGATTCATCTTACAATGATATACCAAGTTAGTTTAGAGTAGTGCGTAGACTGAATCCTGGGAGAATAATGGCTTTGAAACTTTCCATGCCTACCACTATAATCGAGTTCTTCGTGTTCGATTCCAATTCTACCGACTTTTTTTTACTTACCCACAGTGCATTAATGTTGTGAAATACTGCAAGCCCGTGGTTCAAATTGATGGGACATTTTTGTATGGAAAATACAACCAAGTTTTGTTATTGGCAGTTGTCCAAGATAGTAATCTCAACATTCTTCCTGTTGCTTTTTTCCTTATTGAAGGAGAAGATACAGATTCTTGGGTTTTTTTCCTCAAAAACTTACGCTCACATGTTGTCACAAGGGAAAAATCTATCATTTTAGATCGTGGAGCTGGGATCAAAGCAGCTATGGAGTCTGTGGGTCCAATGTGGTAACTACCCTATGTCTAACATCGGTACTGTATCTGACATATTACTGCAAATTATCATGGTAAGTTCAAAAAGAATAATGAGCACCAATTACTTATGTGCATGGGTATGTCACAATGTCTAATTTCATTTCTCATTCATTTTCATTTTTTATGGGAACTTAACAGTAAGTACTTCATTTGATGCTCAGGTTACAAACTATTACCTCAAATGTTTAAGCCCATGTTTCAAGATTCACGAGGAAAAAACAAGCAAGGGTACAATTGCATCAACCTCATCAACAAAGAAATGTGGACAAATACATACAATGGTGGATATCGATATGTACACATAACGACCAACTTGGCTGAGGATATCAATTCAACCTTAAAGAGGGGCACCATTTACCAGTAACAGCTTTGGTTAAAACGACTTATTTTCATTTGGGAGTGTTTTTTGGAAAACTCGAGTGACATGCTCTAACTTGGATGCAAAACGACCATACTTATCATCCAAGATTAGTTGTAGATCTACAAAAAAAAAATTATTGTATCAAATAAAATATATGTAACAAGCTTCTCTTGAACCTATGAATTATTTAGTGTCACAAAAATGCAATGAACTCTTCAATGGATTGAAACTAACTCGTTCAGAGTTAGCCTACAAGACAAATGGTGTGACTGTGGATTTTTTCAAGCTCTGAAGTATCCATCCTCCCATGTCATAGCAGCTTGCTCTTATACACGCCAAAACTATAACCTTTTTGTGGATCCCGTATACCAACTTTTAGAAGTATTTAAGATATATGAATTTGAGTTCCTCCATAGGTAATAAGAAAGACCCGTGTGAGGTTTAGAATTGGCTTTCGATTGTACCAGATCCGTCCTTATTATGGAAGGTAGGTTGTTCGAAATTAATTCATTGTGATATGGATATTCGTGAGACGTCCAAAGAAAACAAAATATGTGAGCATTATAGAAACATATGCCATAATAGGAAGAATTGTTCATCTCTTTTATCATCACGTAATCGTTGATGTTGTGACGATGTAATTGTTGTTTATGAAGCCTCAGCTTGTGTTATTTCATTTTCGTTTACGTTTAATTAATGTGCTACTCAAGTGACAGGCTACCCAAGTGAAAATTAAATAAAAACATTACAAACTATATAATAAAAACAATTAAAACAATTAAATATAAACATTAAATATAAATATTACAATTCAAACAATTAAATAATAAAAAATTAAGAAATAAAATAAATAAAAAGTTCATAATTAAATAATAAAAACATTAAGAAACAAAATAAATAAATAAAAAACCATAATATAATAAAAAATTAAGAAACAAAATAAATAAAAAGTCCATTATTAAATAAAAACATTAAGAAATACAATAAATAAAATCAAGTCTATCGATGTCTGCGTCTTGAATATGTTCTACATGGCGGTGGTTGTCTATTTCGATAAGGATTTCTTTGTATAAATTTCTCTACCTCCTCACTCTCATTATCAGTAGCAGTAGTAGCAGTAGCAACTACATTTTGTTGATGAAAGACTTATGACGATATAACACCTCTACAGAACAGGGACCCTGGAGGTGTATGACTAAACATCCCACCGCTCATAAAGAACTGTGAAAACTATGAAAACATCGACATTGATGAATGCAAAAATTGAGTCAGAGGCATCTGTGTCTCTGGTGAAGCATCACCCACCAAACAAGCAATATATGAAAACCATGTTGGATCTATAAACACGAGAGAATATCCGCCAGGAGGTGTCATAAAACCATATGGTGGTGGCATCTAAAATGGTTCTGGTGGCATTAGAAACGATTGCAGTGCCATTTGAAATAGTTGTGGTGGTATCTGAAATGACTGCGGAATATAAACCGGTGGCTACTATGATGGTTTTGGTGCTACAGCTGAGGACGAGTTCGAAGCGCTCTTTCTCTGTTCACGAGTCAAGAGACGATGATGTTGTGACGATGGGCGTTTTTCTCGATACGAGGAATGCTCCCACTTCGTGATTCCTCAAAAAGTAGGAATGACTTCCCATTTGAGTTAAACCATTAATAATAGTCATCCGCAATCGAATAATGATTAACATAAATCGGCTCCCTACGGGGAATGCTTCTACGTCAATCCTTCCAGATCATTATTGACTCGTGGTGCTTCATCATCCAATTGACTTCTTTTTTGCCCCGTCTATCGATGTTATGTATATTGTCGAGATTCCTAGGTGCTTTAGGAATAGATTGTACAAAACTAAATTGGCGGAACACACGATCAATAGGATGCAACTTGACAATAGTATAACATATCAAAGGGACCACCGTTGTCCATACATTTAATGGGCCACTCAAGGGAAGTGGGATGCAACGCCTCATTTCTTCAGTAGAATAAGAAGCCCATTGAAACTAAAACAAATATATATAATTCTTACCAAAATAATATTCTAATTATATAACGATAATTAAAGGTAAATAATAAAATTTAAATGCATACCTCTATACCAATCTTTTAATCAATGAGCAACTGAATTTCTTTTAATTCGTCCGGTATATCACAATGATATTTCCTTATAGATGACCACCTATTCAGTGTAAAAAAATTAGTCTATACTCAAAAAAATTATTTATATACAAACTCAGTATTGAAATACCTCAATAATAACAGGAACACTAATGGGTTTTTCATGATCGAACATAAAAAGGGCATGCGATACCACACCCATGATTGCAGAAGAAGGAGACATTCGCCGATAGCATTTTTTCAATAATCAGTTGCTCGACACATTTATCTATATAGAGATGCCAAAACCACCGAGCTCCAACTGAATGAGCTAACAACTCAAAAATCTGTGAGATGACGCAACCACATACAATGAACTTGGTTACGAGATTTATTGGGCCCCAATATCCCTCCTATAAGTTGCAATATGCAAGCCCGGGAAAATATTTGAGTATGTTCCTCGAAATAATCGTTGTTAAACTGTCAAAAATTTCTAGCCAACCATGATAACGATGTTTAACCACCATAGAAATTAGGCGAGATGCCTCCATGATACTCCTCGCATAAGGAATGCCAATCCTCATCCGTCACACCAGAAATAACATCTCTATCTACCGAAAGCCCCAAATATAAGGAAATATCCTCCAGCATAATAGTGCACTCTCCACATGGAATATGAAATGTTTGTGTCTCTGGTTCAACCTCTCAATCAATGCATAAATAAAGTTGGATTCAAGGTTACAATGCCCTTCATATTTCGCTATGTAACCAAATCCAACCTTAACTAAATACGGCCAGACACGACTCTCTAATTTAATGTTACAAATAAATAGATCTAATATACGATCACTCACCTAATTAAATAAATAGTATAAAAATTAAAATGTAAACTAATACTAAAAAACAAATGAATAAAACATTCACAATAAATAAAATAACATAAATTAAAATTATTAATGTATAAATAAAATGACTCGATATATGATTTTCATCTAAACTTAGCAAACCGCCTGCCATTTTATAACTGTAAAAAATAATAAAAATTAGTATAATAAAATATAATAAAATAATAAACTATTAAATGATTATAATATAATAAAAATTTAGCTTCTAAAATCGATAATTATACTTACTTAAAAACTTGATAGAACGATAAATAGAAGGAAGAAATAAAGTGTTTTGTGTGATATGAGTGTTGGATAAGGGGGTATTTATAGGGGAGGGGAGGGGACGGGGGTTGGGCGGCATTTAAGGTATGATGGTTGGGATTTAAATGCAAGATATAGATTATGATTTGCGCCTTTCACCACATGTCCGATTTCTAGCAAATATGTGTTTTATGATCCGCGCTTTACTATTGTGGCGCCAGATAGAACCCTGCGAAGGCGCGAATTATGATCCACATTTTTTTCACCTTGACACCAATTCAGACAAAATCCTGCAAAGACATGCCTTATGATTCGCTCTTTGTAAAAAATAATATTAAATCAATAATATTTAAAGAAAGGATTAAATTGTGTGATTTTTGGGTAAAATTGCATAATTTCTCATCTTACAACAAAACCCAATATCTTCTAACATAAAACTCCTAAGTTCTTTTTTTTTCTCTCTCTTATCCATATCTTCTTCTGTCAGACCAAACTCTGTCTCCTCCAAATCGCAAGGTGCTTTTCCAGCTAAGTCTGTTGATGAAACACGCCACACAGTAAGGCTTCCAATAACAAAAAAACAATTTAAACCCATATTTCAAGGTACACAGAGCCCTCCATATTCTCTGAACTCACATAAAACTATTGCTTCCTTGTCTCAACTATACGCTTACGAGTTGAGTTAGCCCATACCCATCTTTGGTCATTGTCTGAGATTTATCAGACACTTGGATTAATGGTGTGTACTGTATAATTCTTTTAGTTATATAGTTCCAGCTACTGGGATTCTAGTATATTGCAGAACAAAGACAAAAGTTTAAGCCCGGATCGATTCTTGGTCTTCCTGGTTCCATACATTTGAAATATTGGGTGAAAAATGGTTAAATCCTGTTGGAATCCATCGGCTGAAGTTGATTATTGCAGCCGTGTTAATGGTTCGTTGTGGTATAAAGATTTGGGGCAACATGCCTATGGAGAATTCTCCATGGCCGTGATTCAAGCCAATGGTTTGTTGGAGGATCAAAGCCAACTCGAATCAGGGCCGTTGAGTTCGAGTGGTTATGGACCTTATGGGACGTTCATCGGTGTGTATGATGGACATGGTGGAATTGAGGCTTCGCGCTACATCAATGACAACCTTTTCTACAATCTTAAGTGTATGTTTTCACTTAAAACTTTGCTATTTTTTAAATCATCAGAATTTGATTTATTGATTGACTATTACGGATTGGATTTTACATAATCTCGTAAGGAGACAATCCTCCCAACCTAGTTAGTCCCAACCTAGTTAGCTCGAACTCCTGACTTTACTAATCTTTAATCTTTAGTGTTGCTAAATGCTTGTTTTGCTTCTCTTGGATGTGCAGCAATTGCAACCGAGCATCAAGAAATATCAGTAAATGTTCTTAGAAAAGCTTTCTCAGCAACAGAAGAGAATTTTCTTTCCCTTGTGAGGAAACAATGGCTCGGTAAGCCACATATGGCGTCGGTGGGATCGTGCTGTTTGACCGGAGTGATCTGCAATGGACTGCTATATATTGCTAATGCCGGTGATTCAAGAGTGGTTTTAGGCAGATCAGGAAGAGGAACAAAGGGGTTCAAAGCCCTGCGATTATCCACTGACCATAATGCAAGTATGAATGCTGTGAGAGAAGAGCTTCGGTCATTGCATCCCAATGATCCACACATTGTTTTGATGAAACACAGAGTTTGGCGTGTCAAGGGCTTGATACAGGTTTGTTTTCTGGTCTGTTTTTTTTTTCATGAAAGGTTAAGAAAGCTGAACAGAAAGTGAATTTAAGTAGTGGGTATCTTTCGTAGATCTCAAGATCCATTGGTGATGCATATTTAAAGAAGGAAGAGTTCAACAAAGAGCCTCTCTTGCCTAAATTTAGACTGCCTGAACCTTTGCGAAAGCCAGTCCTTAGTGCCGAGCCATCGGTGTTGGTACACAAACTTCACCATGATGACCAGTTTCTCATATTTGCTTTTGATGGTCTGTGGGAGCAACTTAGCAACCAGGAGGCTGTTAAAATTGTCCAGACTAGCCCACGCCATGTAAGTTCAAATATTGCTGAGAATTGCTGATACTGGTTGAACTTGATCATGTTTTGACACTTGTTTTATATCCCCCCTTTTAATGCAGGGAATTGCTAGGAAACTTGTGAAAGCTGCACTCAAGGAAGCAGCAAAAAAGAGAGAAATGAGATACTCAGACCTGAAAAAGATTGATAGAGGAGTGAGGAGGCATTTTCATGATGATATCACAGTCATAGTTGTGTTTATAGACCCCCATTTGATCAATAGGAGCTCCTCCTCTTCCTCCTACCCGTTATAGATAAAAGCAGGACTGGCCGTTGATAGTGGTGGTACTTCGTAGCCAGCTAAGATTGGAGTTAAATTTCTCAAAATTTATCCACCATAGCAATGAGAAACAAGGGGCTTCTTTGTTTGTTTGTTTCGGTATAGCATTACCATAGGGTAATGATAAAAATATGATTTGAGACTGGTAGACTTGCCAAAGAACTTGGGATGAGACTGCAAGATAATATGTAGAGTGTAGATATGGTTTCCATGTAATCTAATAGTTGATTATTTTTCTTTCCTTCAGAACATATCGTTAAATGCTGATATCCCTTATTCAGTATTCGAATCTATATTTCTAGAACCATGCATGCTCATGCTCATATCCATCAAAAAGGAAAACATTTCATATCTATTTAAAAACAAGCAAAGTAACAAGGTGGCGAACAAATAAAGAGAATAAATCAATCTAAACAAGAGCACACTCATTTTTTAATCTCCAATACAGAAAATGAAGTTATCACTGTTTGCTTAGATCAAAAGCATCTATGAACTGTAAGATTACCATTTATCCTATAGCCAAACACCTCAACCCCCCAATATATATATATATATATATATTAAGGAATAGCAATAATAGAAATTCCTCCATTTCTTGCTAGACAACCCAATAATTCCAATAAAGCATGTACATTTGCCACTATAGCCCAGGGAAATAGATGTCAGACTCTATTTGAATTACTACTTTCGTCTAACACATGATCACACAATGAAACTTGGAAGAGTATAAGCTTCCGCCATAAATATTACCTTTAAAAAGGAACATATCAATGAACTTTTTAATAGGAAACTACTTACAATTTAATTTTTCTCGATTATATTATCAAAAGGGAAAAGTTGAAAAAAAATTGACACTACTTCATAATTTCTAATGCTCTTTGCAAGATACGAGACAGGTTAACACTACTGTAACACCCCAATTAGTTCCTAATTCAAAACCCTAGAATTTGGATAAAATTGTTCAAATCCCTAAATTGGACTTGATACTTAATTAAAATTTTCAGGAATTTTGATGACTTTTTATGAAGAAAACAAAGTTGAGGCCACTTCAAATACCCTATATATTTTAGGTATTAAATCTATAGTTTCCCCATTTTTTATAATGACGATCCTAATTTTGTCAAAACCTGTGCAACCTGTCACGGACTTAATCTCTCAATAAGCCTCGTGCGGCCTTAGCTTCTTTTCGCCCCTCGCGATGGCTAAGTCAGCCTCACTCAAACTCTTGCTAGTGTGGGAAAGTGTTGGCAAGGAAACGAAGAGGACAAGTAAAGAGACTTTGTGGGAAAGCTTGTTTATATGCTTGAATGCTTACAACTCTTGGATGATGTGCAAATGAGGAACCTACACCTATTTATACTATCCTACCTCCTCAATGGACGGTGGAGATTGATTTGATCCTACGGTTGGGAGAGATTCTCTAGAATTCTCCACAATTCTCTACCGAACATGGAATACTCTACATATGTACAAGCCTTGAAGGTTCTAGAGTAATCTACACTATTCTATTAAACCTCCAAGACCAAATGTGGCCCAAAATAGCCCAAGGTGTGGGAAAAGAGCCCAATTTCGTGACATCCTCCCCACCTATTTCGGCGTCGTTCTCGTTGTCTCGTACTCTCTGAGGTGTGGACCAAATGCTTACAAGTCTTCGGCTAGTTACCATGTTGCCTCGGACTCTGGTAGTCCTTTCCACTTGATTAAATACTTGGTATGTGGCGAGACTCTTCTCTTGCGGACTGTCCTGCTTGTGAGCACTGTTTCAACCTCTATATCGTACGACTTGGTTACTACGAGAGGTGATCGATGTGAATACCCTCGGCTTGGGTCTTCCTTGTCGGCGTGATATGGCTTGGGCATACTTACATGGAAGACCGGATGAATCTTGCGTGTACTTGGCAAGTACAAACGATAAGACACTTTACCTATCTTGGGAAGTAATTGGAACAGTCCCTTGTATCTTCGTATTAGTCCTTTGTGAACGCTTCGGAGAGCTTTGAACTATTGTGGCAAAAGCTTCACAAGGACTAAGTCTCTAACGGTGAACTCTCGATGTCGCCTCTTCTTGTCCGTACACTTCTTCATCTTTTTCCTAGTTTTCTCTAAACATGCGCGGGCGATGTCGGTGTTCTCCTCCCATGACTTAGCCATCTTGGCGGCTCTGGGACTTTTACCCTTGTCAAGCGGCATTGTCAATGTGTGCGGCGTGAGCGGTTGTTTTCCGGTCGCAAGCTCGAATGGGATAGTGTTTCATAATTGTATATCAAATAAATCGGTAATCAAAGGGATCAGATAGCGGTTCTTAATTGTTACCTTGTTAAGTGCCCGGTAGTCGACACACATGCGCAATGACCCATCGTACTTCTTCTGGAACCGGTGCACCATACGGTGCCATTGAAGGTCGAATCTTTCTCATATCAACTAGCTCCTTGAGTTGCCTTTGAAGTTCCTCAAGTTCAGGTGGGGCCATTCGGTAAGGTGTATCTAACCGACAAGCCCCTCGCTCTATGTCGGCAAGTTTCCTACGCAACCATAACATAGCAGTATCTGAAAGATATAAGGCAACGATTTTTACCTTGGCAGCCTCGTCATTAAGGCTGATTCCCTCGAAGTATTACTCCATCCTCCATAGGTAGTTTTCAACTTCCTTGGCTTCTCTTACCTCGTTGAACCCTTGCGGCTTGGGGCACTCGACCCTCGAGGTGGAGACGGTGATGTTAGCACCCCCGCTAACGGCAGCTCTCTTGCAGAGCGTCAAATCCTTCCGCGTCCCCTTGATGCTTTCATGTAAGGCTTGGATCATATCCTCTAACCGAACGAACCGAGCTTCCACCTCGTTGTTGGTCTCTTTGGCACTCATCTTGAGCGCGTCAACCTGCTCCAAGACATGGTCTTTCAGCGTCTTGAAGTCGTACTGGACCCTCTCTAGCCTCTCACCGAACTCCGCCACCACTGGTTCTAAGGAATTTCCCTCACCAACCTCACTCTGCTCCCTCTTCTTCTTCGGGTTGGTGGGTGTAGCTTCTCTCCCATGTTTCTCAGTAACAGTTGACTCGTTCGGGTTCCCGGCCATACCTATAAGACACGTGCACGATATTGACGCCTTAACAGGCTCTGATACCAACTTTCACGGACTTAATCTCTCAATAAGCCTCGTACGGCCTTAGCTCCTTTTTGCCCCTCGCGATAGCTAAGTCAGCCCCACTCAAACTCCTGCTAGTGTGGGAAAGTGTTGGCAAGGAAACGAAGAGGACAAGTAAAGAGACTTTGTGGGAAAGCTTGTTTATATGCTTGAATGCTTGCAACTCTTGGATGATGTGCAAATGAGGAACCTACACCTATTTATACTATCCCACCTCCTCAATGGACAGTGGAGATTGATTTGATCCTACGTTTGGGAGAGATTCTCTAGAATTCTCCACAATTCTCTACCTAACATGGAATACTCTACATATGTACAAGCCTTGAAGGTTCTAGAGTAATCTACACTATTCTATTAAACCTCTAAGACCAAATGTGGCCCAAAATAGCCCAAGGTGTGGGAAAAGAGCCCAATTTCGTGACATCCTCCCCCACCTATTTAGGCGTCGTCCTCGTTGTCTCGTACTCTCTGAGATGTTCTTGGAACTGCCATGTTGCCTTGGACTCTGGTAGTCCTTTCCACTTGATTAAATACTCGGTATGTGGCGAGACTCCTCTCTTGCGGACTGTCCTGCTTGTGAGCATCGTTTCAACCTCTTTATCGTACGACTTGGTTACTATGAGAGGTGATCGATGTGAATACCCTCGGCTTGGGTCTTCCTTGTCGGCGTGATATGGCTTGCGTGTACTTGGCAACTACAAACGATAAGACACTTTGGGAAGTACTTGGAACAATCCCTCGTATCTTCGTATTAGTCCTTTGTGAACGCTTCAGAGAGATTTGAACTATTGTGGAAAAGCTTCACAAGGACTAAGTCTCCAAAGGTGAACTCTCGATGTCGCCTCTTCTTGTCCGCCAACTTCTTCATCTTTTTCCTAGTTTCTCTAAACATGCACGGGCGATTTCGGCGTTCTCCTCCCATGACTTAGCCATCTTGGCGGCTCTGGGACTTTTACCCTTGTCAAGCGGCATTGTCAATGTGTGCGGCGTGAGCGGTTGTTGTCCGGTCGTAAGCTCGAATGGGATAGCGGTTCTTAATCGTATATCAAATAAATTGGTAATCAAAGGGATCGGATAGCGGTTCTTAATTGTTACCTTGTTAAGTGCCCGATAGTCGACACACATGCGCAACGACCCATCGTGCTTCTTCTGGAACCGGTGCACCATACGGTGCCTTCGAAGGTCGAATCTTTCTCGTATCAACTAGCTCCTTGAGTTGCCTTCGAAGTTCCTCAAGTTCAGGTGGGGCCATTCTGTAGGGTGTATCTAACCGACAAGCCCCTAGCTCTATGTCGGCATGTTTCCTACACAACCATAACATAGCAGTATCTGAAAGATATAAGGCAGTAAATTTTACCTTGGCAGCCTCATTGTTAAGGCTGATTCCCTCGAATTATTACTCCATCCTCCATAGGTAGTTTTCGACTTCCTTGGCGTCCCTTGCCCCGTTGAACCCTTGCGGCTTGGGGCACTCGACCCTCTAGGTGGAGACGGTGATGTTAGCACCCCCGCTAACGGCAGCTCTCTTGCAGAGCGTCAAATCCTCCCACGTCCTCTCAGTGCTTTCATGTAAGGCTTGGATCATATCCTCTATCCGAACGAACCGAGCTTCCACCTCGTTGTTGGTCTCTTCGGCACCCCTCTTGAGCGCGTCAACCTACTCCAAGACATGGTCTTTCAGCGTCTTAAAGTCATACTAGACCCTCTCTAGCCTCTCGCCAAACTCTGCCACCATTGGTTCTAAGGAATTTCCCTCACGAGCCTCACTCTTGTCCCTCTTCTTCTTCAGGTTGGTGGGTGCAGCTTCTCTGCCACGTTTCTCAGTAACAGTTGACTCGTTTGGGTTCCTGGCCATACCTACAAGATTCGTGCACGATATTGATGCCTTAACAGGCTCTGATACCAACTTTCACGGACTTAATCTCTCAATAAGCCTCGTGTAGCCTTAGCTCCTT